GCTGTGGGCAATACAGCAGACCCAGGTCCACTGAGGGTCCTCGGCATCACAGTATGAAGCCACAGCATCCATCACGGTGGTGACAGTGAGCCAGACTTTTAGGCAGCTACTGACCTGCACTTGTGTTTTGGCAGGAATTAACGAAGTGTCTATTCACCCATCCCATGATCCCTGGTGCTAACCTTGGCTTTGGGATGTGGTGGAAGAAGTCAAGGCAGAGCAAATGCAGAGGCTGTCAGAGCATCACACAAGGCAGGGAGGTGTTGCTAGTGTTCACCCAAAGGGCCAGGATAGATGGAACATCCATGGCTACGTTGTCCTACACCATCACACTGTGCTATAACATCTTTTGGGCCAGACTTGGCCCCATGCACTTCAGAGGACTACATAGCTCCTCTTTCCCACCCCACAGACAGCCTGGCTCACCCAAGATTTTATTAAAAGTAGCCTTTGTAGATTAGCTGAGGCCAGGCAGGGGTAACGTGTCAAGACTTGAACGAACTGGGAGTGTGGGTGGGTGGGCAGGCTAAGAAAGACAACAGACCTTGCAAGTGTGTATAGTCAACAGAAGAGCACAAGAAACTAATACGGAGAGTGAGAGGAAAGGCAAAGAAGATGAAGGGGGAAATATCCCCTGCTCTGCTGAGAAATAACTCGCTTTAGATGCTTGCTCTGAGTCAGAGGTCTGTGATCTCGGTGATATTTGGCCTCAACCAGTTAAGGGGAGACTGCACTGGGGTAAGTTGTCTGCTTTGATGTGGTACACTGATCATCTCAGAGCTGTTGATGGGATGTTGCTCTGGGCTGTCATTGTCTGCCACAGCAACAGAGATTACATGAAAGGAGGAGCCAACAGGACAAAGAAAGAAGGGTTTCTGGCTCATGAGCAGCCTGACAGTGAGCCCTGAGAAATCAGCCCAGAGATGAGCAGCTGGAGCTGCCCATGCCACCAGAAGCAGCACATCAATGAGCCTCAGGCAAAGGGGTGGTCATGGGGATGTGTTCCCAGGCTGACCTCAAATCAAGAACCTCTCAAAGCTGGTGAGGACTGCAATGCCTCTGCAGCAAGGACACAGGGTTTCCCTCTCCCTCTTCAGCTGGAGAAGGCAAGCGTTTGCAGCAAAGGCCACTGAAGCTGATCAACGTGCTAACTGCCTTTGGGGTAAGCCATCAAAAACATCCAAGATCTGGGTGACTCCTTGTGCTGCAAAATCAAAGTATCCTAATGGAAAAGGAGAATCATTCTGTAGGATGAGGACCAGAACTTGAGCTTATTGTGGTGGGATAAATCTCTGCCTTGCTGGTCCCTGAGCAACATTGCCTTCCTGTAGCCACCTCTGGGTCAGGTAGTGAGGAACGTGGTTTGTGGAGGATGTAGTTAGCAACTCTGGAGCTTGATAGGCAAACTTTACAACCTCATCATCTTTGTGGTGGAAATGTCCTCAAAGCTTAGTTACTGAAAATGTCAGCCTTGCCCTTGTTCTGGGGAGTGAAAAAAAAAAAAAACTGGAGTGGAATATCTGGACTTGATTTTAGTCACGGATTGCTCTCGGCTGTGGCAGACATTACTGTCCAGACCTAAAGCAGATTAAATCCTTGAATCAAATTTTCTTAAGGAATTTTATGGGTGATACTTGTCCATTCCAATAGAGAAGGAAGATGTGCTGGCAGAGTAGTCATTGCTAGACATCGCTAACGTGGGATTCTCCATCACATTGAATAGGGGTGAGCACTTGCAAGCCAGATTTTGGTCATGGTGGGTTACCTGAAGTAAGGCTGTTTGACTGTTATCAGCCAGGTGATGCTGGATTTACCTTGTATGTGCAAAACCAACTTGTGAACTTGGAAAGCAGTGTCCACCGAGACCCTTCGTCACTAGGTAGAGTGAGTAGAAGAGGGTAAACTGCAAAATAGATAATTCAAATGTAATGTTCTTTTTTGCACTATTATTTGTTTGCCAGGGCTTTCTGGGGTGCATCAGTACCATGTTTAGCAAAGACTGGTTCTTTGTTGTGCACGCTGGTTCGATTATGCCAGCTGTGTGATTTGATGATTGATAATAAGCATAGATTTGCTGAAGTATTCCCCAAAGTCTTTGCTTGACTGTCAAAATCCTTATCAGCAATTGGATTAGTTACAGGGAATGAATAATTACAACGCAAGATACTGTATTATATTAAGACAAATTGATAGGTTTTATTCAATCATATGGTCCCAGTCATCTTGATAGTATTTTTTTGTGTGTGGAGGGAAGTGTGCCATTTCACTAGTAGGCACAAGAGAAAATACTAAAAAATGTTTGTTTTAATTGACTAGTGCCTGAAAATTAGGCAAATCAACTCTCTGTACCAAACCAAAATGGGTTAGGCTTTTACTTTAGGTTTTGTTGGCTCTGCATGTCGTCCTGCCCAGATATCAGAGGCAAAGATTGCACTTTTTGGACTACAGGAAAGTGTCTGAGCAGGTTTCTCATGAGAACTGTCTCGGTTTGGGAGGAAAAATTCAAGTCAAAAGCTCTGACAAGATGACCTGCCCACCCTGTTCATCATGGCTCTGGCATCAAAGGTCCTGCAGATGTTTTGTTAAATCAGCCTAAGGCCTCCTAAAACACAGCAAAAGGCTGGAAATTCTTGCCTAAAGTTGCACCAGCCTTCAAGAGATGAGAGAGATGCCTAAGATGAGAGATTGGCTTTTTCTGCTTTGGTTGTATGCTGCAAAATATGTTTCGGTAAATGTGGGGGAGTCTCTTTGAGCTTCACTTCACTGTCTTTTGTCCTCCCAAGCCATTTTTTGTCTGAAATACAACCAAACAGCTGCCTGGTGGCACAGGCTGGTGCATTTGGGTGTAAGGTGGGATTAGCACTTTAACCCGCTCTCACACCTTAGACCAGTGAAGACCTGGGGGTGTAAAATGTCTCATCCATGACTTGCTGTAGTTGGGAGGACCTGTGGCCATTACAGATTGAGCAATTCACCATGAGTTGCTTTGCCAGGTACCCAGCAAACACAGCTGTTAAGAGGGATCTCCCCATGATTACAGTTCTACCCAGCTTTAGCGATGGGCCAGGACACCACAGGATCCCCACTTCATTACTCAGAATTTGCCTGTCAGTGGGGTACGGTGGATTGGCGCCAAGCCAACAGCAGCAAATATAACCTGGAGTATCAGGGCAACGGGCTGTGTGGATTTCTCTTGGGTCTGAGTTTGCTGCTCCACCACTGAGGAATGGTGGGTCTCATACCACCTCCTCCAGTTTTAATTAGTAACGTAATCGAATCATATTTGAGAGCAGGAGGAATTATCACCTTAAGAATTTCTACTGCTGGTGATACACACCTTTGTTGCCCCCTATCTCTCTCAGAGGGGTGCTACGGAGCATTAGTTTGTATTTAAGAGATGCTGTGGTGCAATTAGTTATGCACAGTTTCGCATACCGTTCATTTCTGTAAGTCCCTTCCCATTGCTTCTCTTGGTGGCACCTGCCTGGCTTTGTGCATCTCCCTTTCTGTATGGACATGAGCAGAAAGTGCTCAGGACTCCCTGAGAGGCTGTGATGGACTGGCCCTGCCTGCTGGTGGGAGGGAGAAGGGATCTGGGTAAAGAAGGCATCATGGGCATGTCTGGCCCATGTCTTGAGATGACACAGAGTGTCTTTGGTGCTGTTGCTCCTGGATCAAAAAAAAGAAAAAGAGTTTTTAGGAAGATGAGGTGTTCAAAAGACTGTGAAAGGATAAGTGTCCTATCCTGGGGCTGATTCTCAGCTAAGAGGCATTTTTAATAGCCTCACTTGAGTCTTATCCTTCACCTCTGAGCTGCCTCTATCCCTAGTTTAAGAGCCAAATTCTTGCTGTGACACCTGTAGATGTTCTGGGAATACTGGAATTAATGTGCTGGATTGGGCCAAGGGCCCATCCAAACAAGGATCTTGAGGGAGGTACGAGCCATGCCAGATGTTTTGCAAAAAAGCCCCCACTATGTCTACCTTCAACACTTCATTTCTTCCTCATTCCTGTTGGTTTCATGGCTGGTCTCATAGCGGTCCACGCTATGTTTCCCACAGACGCACTGTCCCTGCAAGAGAGGGACAAGGATGGGACATTGGAGGGTCCTGCCAAAGGTGTATGGTTTTAATCCTAGCCCTCAGAGGAGGAAGGTGTCTCATTCATGTCCTACAGCCAGCGAGAGACAGTTTCTTAGAGCAGAGATTATTTCCTTGCCTATGAGACATTTTTAGGCAGGCAAAGAAATATGTGGGAAGTCAGCAAGCTTTGAAAACTTCTGTGAGCTCTTAACCCATGAAAGCATATTTTAGAAAACAGATTTTTTTTAATTTTTGTTTTTCTTTTCTAAAATATCGATGCATTTTCAAAGACTTACGGAAAGGTTTGAGGTGAAAAGGACCTTTAAATGTTGTCTGGTCCAACCCCCCTGCAGTGAGCAGGGACATCTTCCTCTGGATCAAGTTGCTCAGAGCCCCATCCAATGTGACCTGGAATGTTTCCAGGGATGGGGCATCTGCCACCTCTCTGGGCAATTTATTTCAGTGTTTCACCAATGTCATAATAAAAAATTTCCTCCTTGCATCTAGTCTGAATCTCCTCTTTTTATTTTTGCTTAAAATCATCACCACCCATACTATCGCTACAGGCCCTATGAAAACTTTAGTTATTTTTCTCTTTAAGGCACACAATCTGAAACAAGCTGAAGCAGTTTTCGTCAGTATACACTTCAATTTGAAGCCAAAAAAAATCACTTTGAACCCAAACCTATGTTTTGATTCCAGTGTTGTTTTGGAGGAGACAAACTATTAGTCAAAATCAGTGTTTTTTCCATGTAACCGGTGTTGGCTGGCCTGTTCTCTTTTTCTTAACCCCTTTGTCAGGGGAGTGGAACGGCTTTTTGCTCAGTTCTTGCTCTGGATGGACACCCACCAGGCTGGGGTGCTCCATCGGCCGCTTGTCCTCTGCCGTGACGGCTGTGCTCTTCTCTTCTCTTCCAGGTGCTCCTTTTCAAAGGTCTCAGCATCCCCATGCTACCTCCTGCCGGCACTTCCACCTGGGTCCCCAGCCTCAGCTCTCCACCGACTTCACCCTGCCTCACGCGGTGCAGCCCCAGCCGGGGCTGACCCCACACATGGCCCCCGCCCACCAGCACAGCGGCCCCCTGCACCAGCCCCTGGCACCGGTGCCAGCCCTGCCCTTCCAGGATGTGGCCGGACCCTCCTTCCTACCTCAGGCGCTTCACCAGCAATACCTCCTCCAGCAGCAGCTCCTTGAGGCACAGCACCGCCGGCTCATGCCCCATCCCAGGTAAGGGGGTCTTTTCCTGGGGGATATCCGCTGAAAAGGTAGTCTTATAAGGAGAGGCTGAAGGAGCTGGGGTTGATCAGCCTGCAAAAGAGGAGGCTGAGGGGAGACTTTCTCACTCTCTACAACTGTCTGAAAGGAGGTTGTAGTGAGGTGGCGTTTGGTCTCTTCTCCCATGTAACAAACAATAGGACAAGAGGAAGTGGCCTCAAGTTGCGTCAAAGGAAGGTTAGATTGGATATCAGGAAACAACTTCTTCAGCAAAACGCTTGTCAAGTGCTGGAACAGGCTGCCGAGGGCAGGGGTGGAGTCCCTGTCCCTGGAGGCATTTAAAAGCTGTGTAGATGTGGTGCTCAGGAATATGGTTTAGTGGTGGATCTGGCAGTGCTGGGTTAACAGTTGGACTTGAACATCTTAAAGGTCTTTTACAATCTAAACAATTCTGTGATTCTATTCTATGACTCTACATCAGCCTCAACTGAGCAAAGTGACTTCTGCAAAACCCGGGCAGTAGCTACTGGTAATGCTGAGTTTTCTTCAAAAGTTCATCTGTGTACCCCCAAAACACACCTACCAGAAGGGAAGCTGCTGGGCAAGTTGCACCTGTGGGTGTACCTTTCCCATGGGGATCCATACTATGCTCATCTAGTGTGTCTCGAGGCCGCTTATAGGATGGTAATATCATGATTGTAGCACATTGGTGTTGTAGTGAAGTGTCCAGCACGACAGAGAGAGCGATAGATTGTGTGCATGAGGTATGTCCTCGTAGCTGCTGTTTTAAAACCATGTCAGAGATGGTATCCACCAGTCCTGGCAGGTTTTGCACATGAAAAGCTTGCTTTTCTGGGTCTGGGTAGGCTTTCCAGGTCTGTGAGGAAATGATGCTGCTGACCTGCAGCACATTCAGTCAAGGAATGGAGCTTAAATTCAGACTGGGCTGACAACTGCAGAGAGAATTGCTGTAACTCAGCAGAGGTGTATATGGATGCTTGGCCTTGTCCTGATTGTGTTTCTTGAGAAGCGGGGTTTAGATAACATGTAGGAGAGCTTTTTTTTGAAACATATGGAAGCTATTTGTGGGTTGTACCCATGGATCAAGAATCAGAGGATGAATCTTTGCAATAATGCCTCATTTGGAAAGAACGCTGCAGACGAAAAACTTTCCATACCCTTTCTGCCTGAAAATTGTGTGTTCTTCTCATCTTGTTTTGTTTTGTATAAGCTGGATTTTAGGTGGATTTAATGATTAGTTAATAATTGGGTAACAAATATGTGTGAGGCTGAGGCAGTCATGATACAAGTGTTTATCTCTTAGTCATAAGCTGAATTCAAATAAAAGCACAGAGCACGATTCCAGAAGCTGCTGTGGTAAATGCTGTCAGTGTTACATTTGCAAGTGGGTTGCAATGTGGAAAAGGGCAGGAACCTCTTGCCTGGTCCCACAGCCTATTTCTGAAAGCACAGCTGCATCAGGAGAGAGTGTCAGGAACCTTACAGTTGTGGAGCATGAGGCCCCATTAATGGGAAACTGGGTCATGCTTCAAAAGTGGAGCCTCTGAGCTGTGACTGTGTGAAAAACTCTTAATCTAGCAGCTCCCTGGTCCATTTACTCCAGTGCTTTCCTTTGTTTCGCTGTGGCTCCACTGGTAAGCATGAGGTGTGAGTCTGTTTGTAGTGCAAATCCTTCTAGGCATCCATTTTGTCTCTCTCCAAATGTGGATTCTGGTCAAGTCCCTTGAGTAGTCCAAATGGACAATAATCACAAGGAGAGACTCAAACCCCTTGAAAAACCTTGTTGTATACCACTTTCCCTTCCTTGCCTGCAAAGGCAGCAGAGCTGAGGGGAAAAGAAGCTGGATCCCAGCCTGGCCTGTCCATCATCCAGAGAAAAGTTGGCAAAGGCTAGCAAGAGTAAATTCTGCTTTCAGTCACTGCTGAGTAATCCTGTTATGAATGAGGTTCCCCAGGAGTTTATGGACTGCGTGGGGAGACGAGACAACCTGCAGCTTCTTTACGATGATGGATAACAGCTGAAGCAGGGACACGTTTTATCTTGTGTGTTGCTTATGGGACTGACAGTGGAGAAAAAGAAAACAGGGCAAATGGCACAAAGCTGCTAAGGAAGAAGTGGTTTGGCTCCCTCTCTTTCTCTCCCTGTTGCCACCACATAGCATCTTTTGTAAGCTGAGTGTATGTGGGTGCCACAGAGGTTGAGAGTGAAGGTCTGTATTATGTCTGTGGTGACTATGAGTAATTGACTTGGCTCAGGGGTTCCTCTTCCCATTATGCCTGGCACCTACCTGGGCTCTTTTCTCTTGGACACGTATTCACAAACCCAACCGTTTGCTAACTCCCTTGCTGGTCTCTTCCCCGCAGGCGGGCTCAAGAGCGCATGTCCGTACAGCCTCACCGCCTACACCCCAGCTTTGACTTCAGCCACCAACTGCAGACTCCACAACCCATGGGGCCCCAGCCAAGGTATTTAGCCGAAGGCACAGACTGGTAAGTTTTTCACATTTCACTGGCGAGTTGAGTGAGGTGTTTAAAAAGTCCTGAGGAGGCTGCAAGGGTTGGTGAATGTCGTCATGGATTGATGCTTCCATGAAAGTTAATGGTGCAGCTCAGCAGATACAATGTGGGGAGTGTGCAATGGGAAAACTCAACTTTAGGAGGGCCATGACTTGTGCTAAAGCCTTTATGCATGTATATGGCAACACTGAGGCATCAATATTGCCCACAACTCTTCGTCCATGGATGTGGAGCACAACCAAGCATTAATCTTCCCCAGGGGGTTCTTCTGCTGCAGGGCACAGACAAGGTCTTTTTCCTGTAGACCAACATCTCCACCTGAACTAGACATTCGCTGTCCACCAGCCACTCAAAAACCAGTGGCCACCACTTTTTCTGTGGTCTAAATTAGGGAGCACCATGCTGCCCTGCCCTGCGGGGTGGTGTGAATGAATTAATAGTTGTTAATTGTTCCGCCACTGCAGTGTTCGATACCCTGGAAAAACCGAGCAGGGAATTGATTGTTTTGTCTTCAGAGCCGGTTTTGAGATTTTGCACAGTTACTAAGGTACGGGCCCCTACTTGGAAGAATAAAAAAATAAAACACATACTTCTGCGTAGCCGCTTGGTAGCTGAGCAAGGTCCATTCTGTGCACCAAATGGGAAAAATAGCACGTGAACATGTAATTAGAGACAATCGCGATGTGTATGCACAAGGGTCACGAAATAAAATGGCACAGGAAATCTTAATTATGGCATTTCCCAACATCTGAGTGCGTCACTCTGCAATGGAGAGTCCTTTTAACACAGGTAGGCATTTTTCCCCCTCCAGGGTAATAATACACAACCTAAAACCCAGCCCGATCCTTTTGCCATTTTCTTCTCAGGTGTTCCCATTACTGGCACCACTGTGAGCTGAATTTGGCCAGGATGACATTGTTCAGATCAGTTCACAAAGCGGTTCATGCACCATCTGGATAGAGCGATTCTTTCTGCCTCTCTTTCGGCACGGAGTGTTTAATTATAATGATTAGGAGGATACGATAAAGCACTGCTTTATGCAGAAATCCTGTACTGTGTACATATATATGGGTGACTCACTTCCCCTTGGGGCACGTCTACGGTTTTTCTCAGTGACAGATACAAAAACTTTCTTCTAATGTGTTGCCACTCCATGAGAACCAGCAGCGGTGCTCGCTCAGGAGCGGTAGGTGATGGGCACTGTCGCAGGAAATGGGGAGGGAAGGAAGATCTGAAGGTAGTCAGTCATCTCGGACAGACCAATCTCAATTAAAATCTTCTGATGAAGAAGAAATAAACTCCCATTTTATTCCTTAAATCATCCTTAAATGATGACCAGCCTGAATCCTTTGCTTGGCAGCCTCTGTACCATAAGCGCCACAGCTCTTGAACCTTGCATCTGAGCATCAAGATGCTGTGCAGTCATCCATGGTGGTTTGTCCCTGGCCGGTGGCGAGGTGCCCCCACAGCCACTCCATCACTCCCCTTCTCAGCTAAATGGGGAGAGAAAATATAATGAAGGGACGGTGGTTTGAGACAAGGATAGGGAGATCATTTGCAAAATGAGCAAAATAGACTTGATTTTGGGGACATTAGTTAAAATTATTAGAAGTCGAAGTCAGAGAATAATAATGAGAAATAAAAGCAGATCTGAACAATAATACTTTCCCCCCCAACCTCTCTCTTCTTCCCAGGCTTAACATCACTCTCAGTTTATCCACCTTATCCCCCTAGGAGGAGACAGGGAATGGGGGTTGTGGTCAGTTTATCCGACGGATGTTGTCTTCACTGGTGCTTCTTCCTCCAGGGGAGGACTCCTCACTCTTCCTCTGGGCCGTTGTGGGGTCCCTCTCACGGGAGACAATCTTCACCCACCTTCTCCAATGTGAGTCCTCTCACGAGAGACAGTTCTTGACGAACTGCCCCAGCGTGAGTCTCTCCGTGGGGTGCAGCCCTTCAGGAGGAAGCTGCTCCAGCATGAGGCCCCTGTGGACCCACAAAGTCCTGCCAGCCGACCTGCTCCAGCGCGGGCTGCTCTCTCCCCACGGGCTCTGGCAGCAACCTGCTCCAGCGTGGGCTTCCCACGGGTCACAGCCCCCTTCAGGCATCCACTCCACTGTGGACATCTACACCCCGCCCATGGGCTGCAGGGGGACAACCCGCTTCACCATGGTCCTCACCATGACCCGGGGGACTTGCTGCTCCGGCGCCTGGAGTGTATCCTCCCCCCGTCCTTCTTCACTGACCTTGGTGTCTTCACAGATTCTCACTCCTCCATCTCTGTGCCACCTGTTGTGGCGCAGTTCTTTTTCCCCATTCTTAAATATGTTTTTACAGAGGCGTTCGTCTCCTGTAATTTTACTGATGGGCTCAGCCTTGGCCAGCGGCGGGTGCGTCTTTGGAGCCGGCTGGCATTGGCTCTGTCAAACCTAGGGGAGCTTCGAGCAGCTTCTGGCAGAAGCCACCTCTAGAGGCCCCCGCTATAAAAATCTGGCCACACAAATCCAGTACACATGGCTAGAAGGCAATAGTGGTTTTGGTTTTCTTCAGCTAACGTGCTCTGCTTATTCACACCCAAGCCCCGGGAAAACACCGTTCCATGCAGTATTCTGCTTTGGAGCCTCCTGCAGACCCACAGCATGGCTTCAGGAGCCTTGACATTTGATTTTCAGGCTCTAGATGCACCAATGCGCAAACAGCTCGGCAATTCTGTTACTGTAATTACTTGTGCAAGCTAATAATAACCATTCATCTCTGACAGATCTCTTCAGTCCTTAATCTCAAAGCATTCTGTGGATTTTCACATCTGTTTTGTGGACAGGGAATATGGGAAGGCAGAGGGGAAGTGGTCAAGGTCCTGCATCAGGGAATGGACCCAAAGCCTCCTGATTTCCAGCTGAACCTTCCGTCCAACTGGGAACAGATTTTAAGCAATTGGATAAATCTTCAAAACTGTGATGCGGGAGATGGGAGATGCCCAGTCCTGTGGACTCTCACCCCATTGTGTTCCTGCCAGTCCCCTGCTGTGTTGTGTCTTCTGCCAGGTTTTGTCTATCTAGCACAGGGCCAGCAAAGATAGTCCCTCTCTTTGCTTCACCTTGGTGCTGGGTGTCTTATCAGGGAGTACAAGAGCGCTGGAGCTGCTCCCTGGTCCATGGGCTGTTTTGGGTAAAAGATTTCTGCATTTAACTGCCCCCTTACATCCCTTATCGGCTCTAGGGCAAAAACAGATTCACAGCTGTGGGAGGACATGTCTGGGTTGCTCCTAACAGGCCATGGCACTCGCTGCCGCTGTCCTCTGCACGGGGGGAGAGAAGTTTGAGGCTGAAACAGGGAAGCCACCCCTGTGCTCTAATTAGTTTTGCTTTGGTAAACGTGAAGACAATGGTTATTAGAGCACTGGCTTTTGTAATTATGATAAAGTGAATGATGTTCAAAGCACTTGTTCGCTGAGAGACTCTTTGGCTGGAGAGACAAGGGATCAGCTAATTGGATTATGGATCGAGATGCTGCCTGAGGTCTCCTCCCATCCTCTCCCCACGGCACAGGGATGGGGTTTGCAGTTTGTCCCTCTATGCTGCACTGGGCAGAGCTGCAGTGTTTGCAGGGATCTTGTTCGTGCTAAGTCCTGGGACTGAGCTGGGTTATTTTTCTGGGGGAGGAAAGTGCCCAGACTCACCCCAGGATGATTTGTCTGGACCAGGCTGCATGCAGGCAAGTGGGACCGTCAGGAATGTCCTACTTCATTGGTTTTGGCAGTACAAGAGTTTCATCTGGAAATTTGTTATAATCTTTGTATTTTCTGCACAAACAGCAGTTCTGAAAGTTCCCTGAGGCTCTGGGTGCAGGTGAAGTGCAGTCTTCCTTGTCTCCCTGAGTCCTACCATGATCTGGGCTCAGAGACCTCCAAGGAGAGCACTGGCACATCAAAAAGCTCCTAGATGGTGCCTCACTGGCTCCTAACAACTACCCAGAGTGGTTCATCAGTGTGTCCCCTGAGTAATCAGCTGTAAAATGTAATTGTGTGCAATGATGGCAGCAACAGGAGGACACGGTCTGGCTGAGCTGAGTTGCTGAGCCTGGGTATCAGTTGGAGCCACGGGGATGCTCTTGCTCTGAAATTAGCATCTGTGCAGCTCTGACACAGACTGGCAGAAAACCCAACCACTCACTCCTTCTTGTTGGCCTGGTGGGTGATCCTCCAAATGGGGGGAAGCTCCCATCCAAGCAGTAGCCTCACCCCAGCTTGAGGAACCCACAGCAGCCCAGAGCCCACCAGCGGAGCATGATCTGCCTTGCTGCAAGCCATGCGATAAACTTGTGCAGCCAACTCCCTGTCTTCATCTTCATGCCCACAGGGACCTCAGTGTCGATGCAGGACTGACTCACACCCAGTTCCAGGTCCGGCCGGTCCCTCAGCCCTATCAGCATTACTTAGCTACACCTCGGATGCACCATTTCCCCAGAAGCACATCCTCGACACAGATGGTAAGTGAAACGCTTTTACCGAGAAATGTTTAATGCATTGTCTGCCAGAAGGCAGTCAAAATAAAGGCTGCTATCTTTCTATCACCTGTCTTCTGTGAATCCCACTTATCTCCGGCCGTGGGAGGGAGTGTCTGCAAGGATAATGTTGCATCATTGCACTCTGGATTAAAGGAAGGAAAGAAAAGCTCAGCTGCTGTGGAAATATTTGTCCCGTTGCATGCAGCACCACACTCACAAGCTGGTCTGCAAACCCTGGGCAGGCCATGAGGAGATGCAGCAGTTATTAGTAATAACTTGATTAATAATGGAACAAATTGTGGGCTCCCAAGACTTTCTGTGTGCGGAAGGGTTGGTGGTAGGTGACTCCTTTACCTGGGCTCAGCCCCAGGGACCATTCCTGATCGCATTGCTTGCTGTCTACATCAGCCTTGATGCCATCTGTAAGGGTTTTGAGTGATTTCTTCCACAGGTGGAGATGGGGTTTGGTGAGAGGATGGGCTGATGGGGGTCGGTTGCTGGCCCTTCTCCTAGCAGGGTGCTGTATTTGGAGCTGAACCATGCCAAGCACTGCTAATCCTTAAAGCATCCTCAGAAATCCCACAAGGTTGTTTTTCCCTTGTGCCCATGGTCAGACCCTGACACTTGTGTCCTACAGCAAGGATTAGAAGATTTGAAGCTTGGGTGAAAAGAAATCCACCTATTTAAAATTAAATAAAATAAAATCTCTTTTTAAGCTAATCCATTCTGAGAGTTTGGAACAGTGGTGTTTCGGGTGAAACAGGAATTATTTTAACAGATAGTTTATCCAGAAGAAATGCATGTACTTAGTTATCATTTAAAAGAGATCTATTCAATGAACTCTCACTTTTTGGTTATTAAAAGCCTTCCATTGGGGAAGGTGTCAGTCTGCTCTTTCATTTTGAATTTTTGAAGAAATAGATTTAAATTGAGGTGCACAAGGGACTCCTATGTGCAAGTACAGGTGTCTTTATTATTCTCCCTCACTTCCTGCAGGTTGTTCACGAAATCAGAAATTACCCTTATCCTCAGCTTCAGTTACTTGCTCTTCAGGGACTGAACCCCAGCAGGCACACGTCCGCAGTGCGGGAGAGCTATGAAGTACGTATCTTGGGGATTGGAGTTATTATCAAATTTTTAAGTGCTGGGAATCTATGCAAGCTCTGGCATGGCCTGGTAAGACTGCATGGCAGTCACATTGAGACTTGCAGCGATTTTGGTAACAACTAGGGGCCAAAGGGGTTGAGTGGGTTTGGGAAAAGATGGTTTGCTCTGAGGTGCCTGGGTCTGGCTTGGGTTGACTCCAGCTCCCTCCATGTCTGTGAACTAAATGCTCCGGTTCTACAGGGTTTGGTTTCTCAGCCTGTCAAAGAGAGCTCAAATTTCATCCTAATTTCTGAAATATTAGACTTTCAGCTCTGTGCTCTCTGGCTTGAACCCTTAGTTACTGATCCAAAAGCTGGGGTTCACATCCATCATTAAAGCATGATTGATTTAGGTTTGACAGATGCTTCCACCAAGGAGAGGGCAGGAGGGAGCCTTGGTCACCAACAAGTGGGGTGGGGTGGTGGGTCCTCATGCTCCAGGAGCAATGCTGACGGCGTTTCACTGCTGTTCCCGCGCTGCAGGAGCTGCTGCAGCTGGAGGACAGGCTGGGCAGCGTGAGCCGGGGTGCCGTCCAGAACACCATCGAGAGGTTCACCTTCCCCCACAAATACAAGAAGGTGAGCACCCCAAAACCATGGCACAGCTGCCAGCCCCTCTCAGGTGGCCAAGGGCTGTGGGCATGGAGCAGACACAAAGAAGGCCTTTGGTGGGTCACAGTCTTTAGGGTCTGCAAACCGACTCCGCCAACTGAAATATTCCCTGAAGTGGGGGAGGAATGTAAAATCCAGAACTGGTGCTTTAATATCTTGTGGGGCTCCTGGGGCGAAGCAGTGGTGTAGCTCAGCTGGCTGTTTCTCACTTCTAGGCTAGGAAGCTGCGGGCCAAATTTTCAAAAGGGTCTCAACCTTCTCCCACCCAGCGGGTGCAATTTCCCCCCTGTCCGCACCTGGTAAGAAAGTGCACACACCAAGGGGGCTTCGTGCATGCAAACCCACCCCGTTCTGCATGCAAGAGGTGCTGCCCGCGTGCCTGCCGGGAAGCTGCCGGCTCCACGGCATGGGGGAGCTTGTCCTCCCCTCGTTTTGCAGGAGGTGTCTCCTCTGTTGGAGCTGATCTCCTGCCTGTAAGGAAATGGGTGCCACGGTTTTGGGTTGTGCTAAATAGAAAATGGGAAAAGTGCTTGTTTGCATAGTAATTTCACACATTGGTCATTCCTGGCTGGGCAGTAACAAGGAGGGACGTTACATTGTCCAGGTTGGAAGTGAATCAACTCCTGCTGTGCCTATCTCTGCCCGCATCTCCAGTGGATCCAGAAAATGATATTAATAGGAATGGACGTGGGGGGAGGAAGAAAAGGGGTGAGATGACAGGCTAAGCACTGCACCATGGCCAAGCTGACATGGGGCACAGTGGTTGCGCTTCTTGGCAGTGATGGCCCCATATGCTTTGAGGTCTCTAAGAGAAGCCTCCAGCAAAGGAGACCATGGGGCCATCCCTACTGCAAGGAGAAAGGAGGTGATGGGGGCCTGTGTTAAGGTATCAGAGGACTGGCGGCTCCTTGGGGCACTACCACCAGCCTCACTACCACCCACGTCAGTAGGACACGTGCCGACTAGCAGCATGTTGGTGGCATCCTCCCTTCACAGGTTGTTTTGGCTGGGCTGCCTTCCCCAAGCTGGAGAATCTGGCTGATAGATGAAGCTCTTATGATTTGCCTTCTTGCAACTACCCAGGCTTGGGAGAACATTAGAAAGCCAAGTCCTAACCAAATGATGTCTTTAACCTTGCTGCAGAGAAGACCGCAGGAGGGCAAGGCTGAGCAAGAGGATGGAGAGGAGTCAGACACTGATGAGAAATGCACAATCTGTCTGTCCATGCTTGAAGACGGAGAAGATGTCAGGTACGATCCTTCCATCTGCTCCTCCAGTTCTCGATGCCATATGAGTTTGTTTATTTGGATTAATGCCGCTGTGGGCTGATGAGGTTGTCCCTGTTCTTGTTCGGTCAAACTCACCCAAGCTGTTGCAAGGTCTGGGAAACTAAATACCATTTAGATGGATATTGGTTGGGGATATTGGTATGTAGGTAAGAAGAGCTCTGCAGTAGAAGGAGTGATCACCTACTTAAGGCAGTGGCAATGGGCCAGGTGGCAAGTGTCAGAGAAGGATCAGTCCCAGCTCTCAGACAGCCATCTGGAGCTTGGGGACATCAACATCTGAGCTTGACAGATGACTAAAGTACAATACAAGAGAGTGTGGGTGTGAAGTCCAAGGGATTTTGGCTTGTGGCCAGGACAGAGCTGCTTTATTGTGGAATAAGCAAGATTACTCTGCCCACATGGTCACAGGGAGCTGTCCTGAGCCAACAACAGAGCCCCAGTTATCCCTCACATATGTCCCCAGGCTCTTGGCTGGGTCAAATCTCTTATTGTGACAGAGGATGGTGACAAGCAATTGCAAGGGGCAATTGCAAGGAGCTGCAGGTGGGCACTGCAGCTGCACTGCCTGGTCCTGCTCCTCATCCTTTAATTGCCCTAAACCATCAAGAAAATCTCTGATCCTCTTGCTGTGAGTTTTGTCCTTCAGGGTCCCTCCAGCTCACAAGGGTAAGTGAAAGGCAGCAGTCATGGATAATAATTGGAACAACTCCGTTCTGGAGGGTGTGGGGTTTTCTAAAAGGCATTTAGCAAAGGGCTCCACCTCTGACCTACTGCCCTGTATGAGCTGATGGGGCTGGGGAAGGCTCTAGGACCTAAGCAGCACTGTTGTCACTACATTGGTGTTTCCCTATGCTTGAAACAGCCCTAGCTGCTGCTTTATATCTTTACTTCGGCCCCTGGACCTCCTCCATCCTAACAGGGTGGTACTTCTCTCTCTGTAGGCGGTTGCCCTGTATGCATCTCTTCCATCAAGTGTGCGTGGACCAGTGGTTGGCCACCAGCAAGAAGTGCCCGATCTGCAGGGTGGACATTGAAACACAGCTCGGCTCAGACAGCTGAAGAGGACTGGCTGGACACACCATTTTCCTTACCAGGTCATATGGCCATAAACCCTTGCAGCAAAATTTTTGCCTTCTGAGCCATTTGATTGAGAGGAAAAGTCTGCAGGCATGTTAGTGAGAAAAAGGAGGAGGAGGAGGAGGAGGTGGTACAATATCTAGTGGTAGGGGATATTGCACATATGCAGGATACGGGCCCGGTGAAAGGGAGCTGGCATTCCCGGAGCTCAGAGACCCCCATGCTGCAGAAGATTTAGTGTTGAACATGAAGGAACTAGTTGTGGTAGTCTGGCCTGTCAATCCTGCATTTCATGAGGATTGTATATATATACCTCTCAAATACGTAGAAACATGTTAGGGGTCCTTTAGCTATTTCTATGGATGGCAGCTGGAGCATGTTAGCTTAAGAAATGTTGTGTTTGATGCCCTACTCATCTTGTGGTGGACATGTTGCTGTTACCTAATTTGCACCAAATATTTTTCCATAGATTCCTTATTTTGGTGCCTGATTAATACATTGCAGATGGGGAATAAAGACGTCAATCTTTCCCACCCCTTGCGGGGGAGGGGGAAGAGGCGAAAAAGCAAAATCCTGTTTACAGTCAGAAGGGTTGCGCTCTTTGCCTCAGCCGCGTGTGCTTCCTTTCCTTGCGTTTACAGTGTGTTGCAAATTCAGAAAAGCTTAAAAAAATTACAAAAACTGAGAAATTAAATGAATGAAGCAATAGGGAGATGCTTCGTTCCTGCTTATCTGCTGGTGCTGGACACTTTCTGTAGGGGCACAGTATTGGAGTAGATGCTGTTTCTTCGCTTTCCGTATCTTAACTAAGTAGCATATCAAAATCCAAGGGGGAGGTCTCTTCATGATTGCCATTGTCCATGATGCTTTCTCCTGCGAGCTGTGAGGCTGGTTGGCTTCATCACTGGTCCATAACGATGGTTACTGGAGGTGATGCCTACAGCTGTGCTTATTTTGGGGTATAATAACACCGGAGAGGTGCTGACAGATGTGTGCTGCTGGCACCTTTCCCATTCAAAAGTATCTCCAGCAATGGGACAGGAGAAAACTTGATGCTCACAAGGCACCACTGAGGCCACAAGCATGTGGGCATGTGAGGAAAAGGCAGGTTGGAAGAGAGGTTTGTTGCATTTGGAGGGGCTGAGTTGTGACCCTGCCTCAGAGCACGTGCACCTGCACCTGCACGTATTTGTATGCACATATCAGGCTGTGCTCATGTGGAGAATGGAGTGGCTATTAAAATGAAATTTAACTGCATGAATGCTGGTTCCACAGAAACACTTGGCTCCACAAAAACATTAGAAAACACTTTTTCCCTGTGAGGGTGACAGAGCCCTGGCACAGGCTGCCCAGAGATGTTGTGGAGTCTCCTTCTCTGGAGACATTCAAACCCCACCTGGACGTGGGGTGATCCTGCTCTGGCAGGGGGGCTGGATGAGATGATCTTTCAAGGTCCCTTCCAACCCCCAACATTCTGTGATTTTGTGACATTCTGTGAACACTCAGAACAGAATTGAGAGGTGATCCCTGAAGGAGTGAGCTGTTGCAATTGAAGATGCCCCCAAAATAAAGACCTCGGCACACCAACTGCAGTGACTGGCCTGAAAACCCTCCAGAGAAAAAACATTAACAACCAAACCCCTTTTTTAAATTTCCTTTTTTTTAATTATTGTATTTTTTTAACATACCAGGGGACCAAAAGAGAGATGCAGAGGAGTAAGGGGAATTGACCAGGAACATTATATATTGAAATGGAAATGATTTCTGGCTCCCTTGAACATCCATTTTGCTGGAGCCAAGTGATGCTCTCCAAGTAGAAACAATCACAAATTGCCACCTGAGAGACTGTAGTAGTTGGAAAACATCAACCTTAGAGAGACCCCAGAGATTATTTTTCTTCCCAGCCAGAGAGGAGAGGGAAAGGGGAGCCCCACGAGATGGGAGAGTGAAGGATCCCTTCTTTTGCTGTGCCCACATAGGTAGGAAGGGGTGAAGGGGGACACACGGTGGCATGTAAGGAAGAGACAAAGAAGACAGAGAGGTGGTAGAAGCCCCATCACTGAAGACATTCCAGGTTGGGTTGGATGGGGCTCATCTTGTGGAAGATGTCCTCGCTCACTGCAAGAGGGTTGGATGAGATGACCTTCAGTGGTCCCTTCCAACCCAAACCATTTGATGATTCTGTCATATTCAGCTTCTTGGGGGATGTCCCAGCCCTGATGTCCCATGGGTCGAGGAGTGGCCCATCAGTACCCACAGGGCTTGCTCCAGCAGCAGCAGATTGAAGCAGCACTAAAAATAATACTAATATGACTAATAATATGGAGAAGAAAAGAAAGGCTTTGCTGGTAAAATACACTGTAAGCCAGCCTGGTCTGTCCAGGCATGAGCTGGGGGTGAAGCAAGGGGAGGAACGGCGTGATTGAGACCCTTGGTCGGGTGGGGAGGCAATGAGGAGCACTTCCAAACCGCGCGTGTTCTTAAAGCCTATGCGAAAGTATTATTATTTGCCTAATGAACAAGCACAGTTTTTTTAAAAAAAAACACAAAAAACACACAAACAAACAAACAAAAAAAAAACCAAACCCAAACCCTTTGGTGAAGAAAAGCACCAAATTCCTGTGGTCTCGTGTGAGTGACTGATCCCAAGGTGCGTGCGAATTTACAGCGTCTGGAGTTGCATCGGTGTGTCAGGTTCCTTTGCGTTTCAATAATTTGTGCAAGCAGGTTGCGAAAAAAAGATGAGCTTAAAAACAAAACGAAACAAACCACAAAAAAAAATCTCTAGGGGACAAAACGTTGATAGTTTACAGGGTTTTGTGAGTTTAAATGCCTTATATTTAACAATCATAATTTATGACTAACTTGTAGATATTGTGGGTTCTTATTTAATTATTTTTATAGTTGTTTTTTGCATTTTTAATTATAATTTATTTATTTAGAAATTAATACTAATTTTTTTTATTACTCCTATTACCTCATTTTTGCATTGTTTCTGGGAATGGAATGCTTTGCATGCGTCGGTACTTAAAAACAAAAAAATAATTAAACGTGGGATGTGGGGGTTAATGCTTATCTTGTCAAAAAAAAAAAGAGAAAAAAATCAGGGTGTGTGATTACAAACTGTATTACTGTGGTGCTGTTACCTTGGATACATTCCATAAAAATGCAAACCTTTGATTCTGTATGCTGTGACATAGTGGAAAACTGCAATATAGTGACTGTGTTTAGCACATATATATGAATATTATTTGCACTCATAATCAAACTCTGGTGATCCTTTCACTCGCGTCCTTGCGCATTGAAGGCGATTAATGGCAAAACCAAAACGTTTCGGTCGATTCTTGCCACTTCGCCGTCCCTGCTCCCGCTGGCGATGCTGCTGCTCTTGGCTGCAATAATATCTCCCCCCGCCGACCCCGCTACAAGGCTGCGCTTTGGGCGACGCAGGCATTTAGTGCAAGACTCTGCAAATTGCTTCAAATCTGGAGACTTTCAAACCCCGCCTGGACGTGTTCCTGTGTGACCTACTGTAGGGGATCCTGCTCTAGCAGGGGGGCTGGACTAGAGGATCCCTAGAGGTCCCTTCCAACCCCCAACGTTCTGTGATTCTGTGAGGAAGCCCAGGCGCAGTGGTCCTGTTCAATTTTTTGGTGCCTGTTAGCGCTCGGTATGGCTCTTTTCACCCTCCACGTGCACACACCCAGCTGCAGGGAGGATGAGGACAGCGATCGATTGAGTCCGAGCTTGGAGTCAAGAAAACGGAGGGATTTGTTGCAATTTGTAGAGTTTGAAGCCCTGGTCTAGCTGAGAGGGGGTGGGATGGAAACGGAAGAGATTCAGGGTCTGTTTGTAACGTCTGGCCAAGACAGCATGCGCTGTAACCCAGCTGTAAAACATGCGAGCCGCAGAAGGGTCTGGAGAGCAAGTCTTTCGAGGAGTGGCTGAGGGAACGGGGGTTGTTCAACCTGGAGAAAAGAAGGCTGAGAGGAGACCTTATCGCTCATTACAACTATCTGAAAGGAGGGTGTAGTGAGATGGGGATCGGTCTCTTCTCTCAGGTAACAGGTGAAAGGACAAGAGGAGATGTCCTCAAGTTGCACCAGGGAACATTTAGATGGGATATTTGGAAAAACTTCTTCACAGAAAGGGTTGTCAAGCACTAGAACAGGCTGCCCAGGGAAGTGATGGAGTCCCCATCCCTGGAGGGATTTAAAAGCCGTGTAGATGTGGTGCTCAGGGATATGATTTAGGGGTGGACCTAGGATTGCTAGTTTAGCAGTCAGAATCGATGATTTTAAAGGTCTTCTCCGACCTAAACAATTCTATGATTCCATGAAAAACTCCCAGTAGGTTTTATCCCTGCCGTTGGAGGGGAAACCTCAACTTGAAGCTTTTTAATCCACTGTAGAGCTGAGATGTGCACTGGAGCTGTCCCTGTCCCCAAGGAGGGGTCAGCCACAAACTGATGTCCCGCTCCCGCAGCAGTGTCCAAGCATCCCCATCCCCGGCCATGCCACTATCCCACCCCACGGCCCTTTCCCAAAAGGCTCCTAAATACCAAGTGTTTGGGCCTCCCAAGAGGGTTAGAGCTCCTTTGATAATATTTTAAAGCTTTAAGCCATAAACTGCTCAGCACAGATGCTTGGCCACATGTGGACAGGAGAAGGGTTCGATGCATGTGCTTGGTCAGTAGCCACCCTCCTGCCAAGCCTTTGGATGCAATTTTCTTTTGGGTTAGAAAGGCACAAAATGACTATAACTTCTTTTTTTTTCTTCTTTTTTTTTTCTCCCCTCCTGTGGCCCTTCAGGGTGCTGCTCTGCTTTGCTGACTTTGCCTTACCCTGGGTTTAAAACCTGTTTGTGTTTTGTCCCTTGCTGCTCTGTAACACTCCTCCCCTGCAGCCCGGAGCTGCGGTTTTGAGCCGTGCGGGGACAGAGGGTCCCCACACACACACACATACCCCATGCAAAGACACTGTAAAAAGGGATAAGAAAAACAAGGAGCGAGCGAACAAAAATCCTCTCCTTTAATGACCTGGGCTGGTGAAAGGATCACCCACATTTTTGTACTCCTACTGCTGTTCTGTTGTGCTGTGCAACATTTTGCTACATAGACTATTTTATAGAAGAAAGCTAGAAAAATATTTATTATTAATATTAAAGCAATAGTGCATTGAAGAAATGAAAAGACATTAGAAATTGTGTAAATGCTTAGATTCACTTTTGGTGGATTTTTTGTACTTTATTTATAACTAATAAAACAAACTGCATTGCTAACTATAAACCTGTGCCACACAGAAGTCACCCAACAGAGTGATCGCTTGGTCTTTATTTGCCACTTTTTTCTGGTTTCTTTGGGCTGGAGTCAATCCATCTTGGACTTCACTGTGCAAAAGAGGTGCTGCTGGGGTATAAAATACTCCCCCCAGCTGGTTTGCAAAGGTTTTTTGTGCCTGAGCTCTGTGGCAGAGGCAAGTTGAGGCTCTCCACGCCAGGCACGGCACGTGATGTCCTCTGGTATCAGTTTTGTGATTAGATACCAATATCACTTCCTAGAGCCAGGATGGAAAGTGCCTATTAAAGAGATATTCCACCTCTAAACACATCTCATACTGCCTATGGGGTCCCTCTAGCAAGTCCTGTAGAGATAGCAACAGGTCCTTCCTCCGTCCTCCTGGTGGAGAAGCATCTTCCTCCTAGTGTTTAAAATCTATGGAAAGAGAACCTTACTGGGGAAAAAAAAAACCCACAACAACAGCAAACCAAGCCAAAACCAACTCCAAACCAGTACAGATTTATGTGAGTGTATTTTCAATTCTGTTGTTACCTGTTGGAGCATCCAGTGGGCCATACACCCAGCTTTGCATCCTGCTCATTTCATAGGTCCGCTTGCACTTTTATTTTTTCCCCCAGTGAAAGGTGCCAGTCTCTGCTCCTTCCTACTCAATTTGGCTGCTCCTCCTCACACATGTCTTGCAGAAAAGTCTGAGACCAGTCCCCAGCTTTGATTATGTGATTGGACTAAATAAGCCTTGGAGGCAGGTGGCTACTGATGGTAGAGATTTGGTTCCTGTAGCCACAGGGAATTGCTGACTCCTCCGGCATCCAGCCAGCACTGTGTAAGGGTTGCACCATGTTCAGGCAATATGAATCTCCCATTATAGAAAGCTTTTATAAATTCAGAAAACAGGCTAAAAATGACCGCTGGTCCAGCTGGGAAGGAAAAATCTCAGATGCTCACTGAGATCTCGCCGACATCCTTTGAAAGGTTAACAGTACTGAGGGAGTTGCTTGAGATGGCCACTGATTTTATTTCAGATCCACAGCAGCGAACACGCCACCAGGCTCTGGTAACAGCCCTGAGGAGCAGTAAGAGCTGGCTGCGCTGGGGAGGGAGAGGGGTTGTGCTTTTTAAGGTATAACAGCACGAAACAAAACGCAATGTCTTTACTCACTGTGAGCATCTGTTCTCGCAGCAGCTGCTCAGGGTAGGGAAGCTCAGCCCTTATTTCAATTGCATAGTATCTAAATCCTCAGCTATGCCACAGGCTGCAGCTCAGAGCTGTACAACACCATCACTAAACACATTTTTTCTTGTTGTAATTTAAAATAGTGAGTTCTTTTCTCTGTCGAAGTGGACCTGCAATGGTGGGGCAGAGGACCCTGCAGGATGGATGCTTCACAGCCCCCAGTCACCCTGCCCTCATGCATATCAAAAATGTTTCACAACAATTTCTTAGAGATTGTCAAATAATTCTCATGTGCTGCAGCAAGAGATACCCAGTCCCTCTTGGCATCCAACACTGCAAAGGACTCCTTGGTTATACTTGTCTTCACTGGAAGCAAGCAAGTGTAACACAGCACTTCACTATTGTCCCAGAACATTGGGGACCACAGAGAAGATGGAATAATCTGGCTCTGCAGGCTCCTGCTGAGTGCCACCATCCTCATCGTTTGCTCTTGCTTTTTGTCTACATGAATGTTTTATTTGGATGAAAGCACGTGCATTAAAACCCCACCAATTAAGAAATAAAGAACAACGAAAACAAAAGAAGGTAGAGGGTCCCCGCTCAGTCCCCATGTGTTGCCTGATCTAGTTGAGAGGCGTCCCTGCCCATGACAGGGAGGTTGGATTAAATGATCTCTAAGGTCCTTTCCAGCCTAGGCCGTTCTATGATTCTGTGACAATTCTATGATGAGGGGAGCAGGAGCTGTGCATCTGCCCATTGTACATCTTTCAGATGCTCTGCCCCAGCAGAGATTGCCTGAGCCCTGCTTTTGCAGGCACGTCATTTGGACAGTTTTGGCTTTTCTCCTCCTCAGTTCTCCACTTGGCCTAGAACTTGTTGGTTTTAGCAACTTAATGCAACCTAATTAAAATCCAGCCCTTGGAAGAATTCCGTTCTTGCCTTATTGCTTTTGTAGCAATAGTTGTAGCAACAGAAGGACTACCCTGAGCCAGAGTGGAGTCGAGTTTTGTGCAAACAAGGGGCATTTTTGAAGTCTCTGGAAGGAAAAAAAGCATTTTTTTCACACTTCACCAAGGTTGCCTTTCTGGGAGGCAGTGAGGTTGCTGACTCTGTATCTGCAAACTCCCACCTCAGCCTTTTTTTAGGACTGCATTGCCTGGAGGTCAGCTTAGCTTTTGTGTTGACCATGCCCATCCAGGGATGGCAGGTGGTTTTTATGGCAAGCCAGGTATCTCATCTCTCACCTATGTGGCGATTTGGCGACCCCAAAGATGTTCACTGCTGCTTCAACAGCATCTCGGTGCATCACAGTGAATTTGCTTCAGGGTTGGCAGGGGTTAAACTGCTGCGATGCAGTGATGATGTAAAACCACCATCCCCGGCATCTCTGCACCACATGGGTGCTGACTGGAGCCAACTGGGAATGCTGGGACTACAGCATTTTAATTGGTAAAACTCCTGTTTCATTGCAGCACACATCTGCCTAAAAATGGGACAAATCTACTAATGGGGAGGGGTTTTTTACATAGCCCTGGTAGATTGGGGTGGGAGGGAGAGCAAAAACATCAAAAGCCTGAGCCTTTTTTTGATTTTGTTTCAAACTCCTTGCTGAGGTACCGACGTTTCATGATAACACTGCGCAAAAACAGCAAAAAAAAATGCTCCAGACTCTGCTTGTGGGATGCTCCTGGGCTGGCCAGGGAGCCCAAGCCCCATATCAGCGGAATCCCAGGGATGCATCACATCTGCTGACCTTAAGCCCTCCTGAGGTCTGTTCTGGTCCTCCTGAGAGCTCCTAGCCCTTGCTGAGAGCAGTGAGGAAGGAGAATACAGCCAGTAAAGGCTGCTATTATTATTCCCATCAGTGAGTAGCTCGTCATTGATGAGGTTGATTTCTAGGCTCATTTAAGCAACCTGCTCTGCTAGAAAATCATCAGTTAACAAAAAGGTTTCTAAAACGAATTAGTTCTGAGCTATTATTTGTGAGCTGGCACACGCAGCCCTGAATAAGCTCAGGTCTCTCCAGTGCTGCCTGCTGTGAGAAATAAGGATCTGGAACTCTGGTGTGATGCAGCAGCTTTCAGATATCCAGGAGCAACCAACATCACCTGCAACATGTCCCGGACTCTTGTCTCAGCATCACTAGGCCAAGTTGGGGCTTCCTTTGCCCACAACTAGGCAGGGATTGAGCAGTGGAACAGTCCTGCCTTGTGGCCAGGCACATCCAAGTCATGTCCCAGCAGGAGCATCGACACTAATCCAGGGACTGATGGGGTGGGTGGGCTCAGTGGGTCATTCTTGACCGGTTTGATGCCTATTCACACAAAATGCCTGCTTAAAACCAGCTTCAGGGAGGGGAGACACCCTCTTCTAGGACATGGGTGGGCCAAGAAAAAGTCTTCTCATGGTGTCTCAGACACCTCTCTTTGTCCTCTGAAGGATACGTCCTGCTGTTTCGCTCCCCTGGGAAGAGTGAGAGGGCTCCAGAAGTAATGATTTGCAAACAGCTTCTCTTGTGGGTACCTGCAGAGATGTGAGTAGGTGGGAAGAGCTCATCTGCAGGAACACTGACTTTTACTGAGGCTGGGAAATCCCTTCTCCACCACAGAAAAAAACCCACAAATCAGCAATCCTTAATAAGAGAAAAAAAAAAATTTAAAATCAATGGCAGCTGCTCTGAAACGGAGTTGGTTTTCAGGCCATATAGGGTAAGATTATGCTGAGACAGCTTCAAATGTAGTTAGCACAGCTTCCTTGCAGTGGAATTGATTTTCTGGTAGGTCTTTTGTTCTGGCTGCCATAACTGTAGATCTTAGCTCTGGGGTGACCCAGGCAAATTCACACCAAGAGCTGGGTTTGGCTTGACTGGGGGGAAGCCCATGGGTGGAAAACACCACCCGGATCCCTCCCCTTGAGATCTGGCTGGGTGGGTAGACCAGTCCTTCCCACCTCCATGGAAAAAGCTCTGCTTTCCAAGCAGTGCCTTCCAGAGGTGCACATGTGGGATCTCCAGGGTCAATTTTCTTAAATACACTGTCTCGATTCTCCTTACTCATCTGAAAGGGGACCTCATCAACAGTGGAAGCCGGTGGGCTTTCCCAGACCTGGCACTTGCCCCAGCACTGAAAGCAGAAGATGGCATCTGAGTTGTTGAGAATAATTTATGGCTCTTCTAGTTCCAGCTTTTAATGATAAATAACCAAAAAATGTATATATTTCATTCACTATTTTATTTGAGCTTTAAAAAAAAGGCACTATTGCTTTTATAAAATGTGAACCCAGGAAACACGCTACTAAAAATCTCTCAGTATAAAAGGCAGTGTTTTAAAAAGTAAAATGCAATATAAAACAGTACAATGAGAAAAATGTTCATGCAGGATGGACTGAAACTCTCCTGAAGCCTTGAACTCCTCAGTACCTCGGAAAAAGCTCCCTCCAGATTAATCCATCACCCCGGTTTTCATCCAGCCACTTCCCACAGGGAAATATGGTGGTCACACCTGTCGCCGAGTTGGTGATCTCCACCCTCTCCACCAGCCAGCCCGGTGCCAGACCGCTGTTGTCGTGCTCGATTCGGACTTTTTTTAACTCCCCCATGTCCAGCGTTTCCAGGTAAAACCTGTTGGTTTTGCCCCGCTCAAAGAGGTTCCTGAACTTCTGCTTCAGCGCCCGCTTTCCCGAGTCCCCGTTCAACCCAAAGATGGTGATGAAGACGTTGGCGTCGGTCCCTGCTCCCTTGTCAAAGCCTGTGACAACGATGGTCTCATATTTGACTGGCACCAAGCTCCGGGCTTTGCTGGCAAAGCTCTCGGTGACCTTGGCACACTCAAAGACTTTGTAGTCCCGTCTCTTGTATCTCAGGGGGATTTTCGTGTTGCAGCGGAAAAAATATCTGCAGAAGGAAAATTAGCAGCGTGTTAATGGTAGGGATGGTTGCTTTGCTGGGCAAAATTAATGAACTGGGCATGCTGCTAAGCTGCCTAGAATTAACGCTGTTTGAGTATTTTTCCATATATGTGCTAGCACTAGGGTTTCTCTCCAGGAAGACCGCCGTGACTGACCATTGCAACTGCAACTGGAAAACCCAACATCTCCACAGGCAGCCATAGACGCCTTGCATAAGGGGGGGATTGATGTGGGGCACTTGGCACTTGTTGCCACATTTTCCATTTGCAAAGAGATTGCAGGATGAGCAATCAGCCCCACAGCTCACACAGCCCAGCACCACTGGGTGCAACTGGTCTGAGAGCAGGGAGGCCAGTGGTTATGCTCACGGATTGTAAGGATACAGCTGGGCTAGGAACTAGGAAAAAAGGGAATGGGAAATATGGGAGGAGAAAGTTTAAATCCTTTCTTCCTTTAATTGTATAAATCACCAAGCTTATCCTTAGTATGCAAAAACACAAAATTGAGCACAGAAGTGATAGGTACCAGATGCTGAAAGCCCTTGGCTCCGCAGTGCTGCGGCTGGTGATGAGCAGGGAGCACATAAGCCCATCCATAAATTAGCTGGCGCCCGGCCAGAGAGGCTGGAGGACTCCACTTTTAATGATGTATTTCATTTCCAATGATGCAGATCGTTTCCAAATTAGTTTGTCAGGGTTTCCATGCCCACCCACCCTACCCTTGCTCAGCCCCTTCACTTGGCCAAACTGCAACAGGTCCTCCTGGAGGCATCGTGGCTTGATTGAAGCACGGATGTGTAAAATAAACAGCTAGAGGGAGGGTCGCTGTGATTCCAGCAGAACTGTGCTGCTTTTAAGCATGTCCAACATTTTCAGCATTTTCCACAGCTGAAGGAAAGCACTCGTTCTTCTTCAAACGAGCTTTGTAAATGAGAAATTCTGGTGGGAGCAAAGTTCTAGGCTCATGGGCGGAAAAATAGCATGGGAGCAGGGTATAGGGGTTGCGTGATGCTCCAGTTTTATTTCCTGGGCTGTGTAATAACTCATGGTCTGGAGTTACAATGGGGTATGTCAGCCTTCATGAGGGGCAAAAAGAAAAAAGATGACCTTTCTATCCCTGGGATTTGCAAGAAGAAACTTCCAGATACAGCCCTTTAACATAATAAGCTTTATTACCAAAAGGCAAAAATCGCAATATAATTCAAATTATTGCTGCAGCAACCTCAAAACTCTTTTCATTTGGTCTTTGGCTTGACTGAGTCTGGTTTTTTGATATTTAGGTTTGGGAATACCTGAAGTGAGAGCTCATTCTCAGGGTGCAATCTGCTCCAGTGGATGGTTTGCAGAGCAAACACGGCTGTGAAGCTCTGTGTCTGCAGAGCTGGACCCCTACTTCAGTGCAATGACCAGCTGCAGGCTTTACAGGTATTTCCCAGCTGACCTCTTTCTTTAATGTAAAAAAATCTAGGGCTTTATTAGAAGATCTTTGGCCCCCTCAAAGCACACTATTTCAGCTGTTTCAGCATGCTCCCAATAAGCCTTGTGCATGGATTTGATTGCACAGCTGGACTTCAAGGGTTCCAGGTTTTTCCCCACCAGGCAAAAAGAACATGTTTTAGTATGTAATTGACTGAGTTTTCATTCAGCAAATATTATTGTGGCTCTTCTGCTGGCTGATTAATTTGCTCGAAGAGACTCTTAGCTTCTAAAAAAAAACCACTTCAAGGATTTCTTCTTAAACACTCAATTGTCTCAGCTGGAAAAAGCCTCCTTATGGCTAAATTCTTTAGCAGCAATGGAAATATCACGAAGATGAAAAGAAATCCACAAATCTGGATATTTTCTCTGAAGATCAGTTTATTCTGAAAATGGTCATTCTTCTCTGGCTCCTGTATAAGTGCTATCTGCTCCCTGATCACCCATCACCCCTTCCAAAGATGGGGTTCAGACTAACACAGGTAGGACCTGACATGCTTTTTTTGTGTTCATTTTTCAGCTGTGGCAGATTTTAGTTATATTCAGATTAGAGTAGCTGAGCTACATGACTGCAACCTTTCCACTGGGCCTTTTGGACCACACCAAAAGGATGCCTCATCCAAACTGCTCTGAACTGAAGGCTTAGGCTTTGTCTTACTCTCAACTTTTCTCTAGGAGCCTTTTTTTTGCAAGATTTACCTAAAGGCCAGTCTATGCAGAGCATTTTACAGACCCCTTAGATTTCAGCCAGCCCAACTTTTTTCCGCAAGCTGAGACATTAACTTATCATAGCTGCAATATTCACCCAAGAAAACTTGTTCATAAACCTATCTGCCCATGCAAATGCCTTCTCTAAGAACTCAGAAACTGCAAGTCAGGCAGGGACATTCTCTACCTGACACACCGATCAGCTTTTCCTGATCTTTCAGAAAGGGATTAAGATTTGGTGAGACTCCCCATTATTGCTGAAGTCTGAAATATTTTAGGAAGATCCATGCAGAGCTGCTCAGCTTTCCTGTGCCCTACTGGAGCAATTCGTAGAATCATAGAATGGCCTAGGCTGGAAGGGACCTTAGAGATCATCTAGTCCAAGCTCCCTGTTTTGGGCAGGGACCCCATCTCTCGACTAGATCTGGAAACACATGGGGATCCTCGTAGAAGAGAAGGCACTTACTTGTTGCAAAGCTCCATCTCCGTTATGACAATCTCTTGGACGTGCCAGAAGACATCAGCTTTTGCAGATGACTTCTTCCCATCTTTTGGGCAGTGACCAACACAGATGGCTGCAATATCACCAACATTCTTTGAAGAAAACTGAAATGTGTCTGTTCCTCCCCTACAGAAAACAGGGAACAGTTTCAGTTAGTATCCTGAAGGCTGGCGGTGACTTGTCTCATATGGACATTAAGTCGTTTAGCCATTCAACACAAAGTATAATTTCTGTATTTAAATTTAGTAATTTAACCTGATTAGGGGTGACGCTTTAAACTGTTGCCACTAGGACTTTCCAGGATAAACTTGAGCTGTTCCACATACTAAATCAATTTGCCTCATTACAGATAAAGCTAAAGAATGACTAATTTCCCCTATAGCACTTATTCATTCATCCTTGGCAGATACTGTATCTGTTACACATCTACCCACCATAGCTGTTTTAAATTTGCTGGTTCAGCCATCCTTTCTGAAGTTCAACTTGAAAATAGTTTAGAGAAACAACAGGTCTCTGTTAAAGCTTTGGCTGGCTCCCTGTCACGTCCCCTGCGGATTTGTTAGGTTTGTCTTCTTGGACCGGTCCTTATTCCAACCTGCCTCCAAGGATAGACTGTGACTAATGCTTTGGAGAGTGGTGTCTTTAGCTTCACTGTAGACACTATGAGCTTAAGTTCAGGAGGAAGCTCCTCCAGATCTTCCATGTTTCATGTAAAATCTCAGCCATCCATACAGAATCTGCACCACCTGTAGTTTCACCTTCCTTTCAGAGCCACAAGAAAAACCTTTCCTCCATGCAAAGCAACACAACATCAGTAGTGCTTTTGAAGAAGTTCCCATCTCCTAAGTAAATGCTGTGTCCTTACATGAAGTAGAAAACCCATCTCACATCTGGAGCACTTTGGTCCTACATGGGAGAAGGTATCTGCCCTACGTTACACAGAGATGTCTCCAGCCCCTCTGCACATGAGGCTGATGTTTGGCTTTCTTCACACAACAGTAATACCTCAGCCCTACCCCTCTGACCTCCAGATTTGTCTGGAAAGCTCTGACAACATTCAGCCTCCAACTATTTTAATTTCTCTCTAATTTTCACTGCTAGGGAGATGCTGTAAAAGGAACTAAACCCACTTTCAGCTTCCTGCTGCTCCTCCCAGCTCAAAAACCTCCCCAGGGGCTCATCAGAAGCCCATTGATAGGTACTAATACAAAAGGACACACACACACACACACGTGCCCATCATCTGCATACACACACACACACACACACACGCGCCCATCATCTGCGTTTCCTTTTACCATATGCCTTTTTCTCATAATTTTTAAACCTGATTTTTGTCTCCCCATGAGAAACCAATTTTATATTTTCCTTTTACTCCAGGTGAAACCTAGAGAAGCCATTAGGCTTTTTGGAAGGGAGGTGAGAAACAGCATGGCACAAACACAACTCTCTGAACTTTTCTGGAGAAGAGATGGCATTTGTGGAGGTTACATAGCTGGTGAGGAGTTCCTCTAGCCCACCATCCTGTCCTGCTACCTTTCAAATCTCCTTTTCTTGGAGGAATTTTCCATGAGGAACTCTTTTGAGCGACCCAGCTTTCCTTCTAAGATGATCCAGATGTTTTCCTTTGTTTCTGCATCCTCTCTGTCGCTTGTCACTGTGACGATCTCATAGGCTTTAAAGCATAATTAACACACAAGTTGAACAGAAATGGAAGAGCAGATGGTCAGAAAGATCTCTTCATTTGGCTGTCACTCAGTGTAAAAACTCCCTTCCTAATATTTATCACAGCACACAGGAAAGCATTTGCAAAATAAGGGTGGAACCATACTGAAGTCTGTGGGACTTTTGCTACGTGCTTTGGATTTTGTGTAGGGATAGAGTACATGAAAAAATACGTGTACTGCTTGGTTGGATAGCAAGAGTTGATGGAACTGCTCTTGAACAAGCTGTGCCCACATTCCTTTTTAACATAGCCCAATTCCTACAGGTTTCCTGCCACTATTCCTAACAGGGACAGTGAAGGTATCCAGGTGCCCAAGAGGATGTACTCAGATGCTGTGGTGGCATGTAAGTACCTAAAATGGCAATCACAAGACTGATTTTTTCTGTAGAGGCAGACTGAAATCATGCTGAAGTAGTATCATTATTGACTCTGCAGGACTCTCCTGAAGAAGAGCTCTGCGATGCAGGAGTAGTTGAGATGCACTTTGCATATCATGAGTGCAGTTAAATGACTCACTCGTTCACCACGTCAGACACTAGTGTAATTACCTTGGACTCAGTGAAATTACCCAGAGCAGACCCAGGGCTATGGGATGTTAAGCCCAGCCATCATGTTCTGCTGGGATACTTGAGTTAGTAGCCCAGAACATGTTAAGGAGGAAGCTGGAGCAATGCTGCTTACAAAACTTCAAGGATTGAACTTATTTTCCACCTCAAAAACTCAAGTCCATTATTTCTAATGAGTCCATAACCACGTGCCCTTATGGCTTACTGATGAATTCAACTGCTGCAGATGGGCCTCTCTTAGCTTTCAACCCAGAATAAGATCTTCTTCTTCCTCATAAATCCTGATTTGTTTCTTTCTTATCCTAGCATTGCACTTTGAACTAAAGAGCACCTTAAATAACCCAACCCTTAAAGCCTGCAAGCACAAATGCTTATTGCATGGGAACCCTTAGTGGAGCAGCTTGCAGGAGATGTGGTCCTACGGCCTCTGACATCCCTCAGCAAATGCCACAAGTCAGCTCTAAACTTACCGGTCCGTTCCTTCAGTTCCAGGATGTCATTATTGGCACAAGCCAGTTCCCTTATGAGCTGCCCATCATCTTCACCTTTAGCCAGCCAACGATCACACTGGAAGCGAAATGTCTTGTCCATGGCAGAGTCCATCACATCAATATATTCCAAGTGCCAACCTGGTGCGATTCCTAGTAAAACAAATAAAATAAAAAAAAGATTTGGATGTTTTCACATAGTTTGAGTAAGGAAGCAAGATCTCTCACCACGGTAACACCTGGCTGGTGCTAGAAATTGTTGGTATTTTCTTCAGATAATGTCACCAGAGAACATGACGTTGTTCTGATACCGAAAACAGTGGCTGACTTGCTCAAGACCATAATCTGAACCCCCTTCTAGAGGCAAGCCATGCTTTTGAGGCCATTTTGTTCAGATATAAGGGCCTGGAACATGGTCTTGTGTAACGTCTCTGAGCAAGGGACCATGACCCGGAAGTTCATGTTCCACTTAACTCTCCCCATCACATGTGTCTGTAGCTATTAAAAAAGACATGACAGTGTGTGCATGGTTTGTGGTGGTCTTTTTACATTGTGCGAGTGTTAGTTGTCCGTAAGCTGTAGGATTTAGGGTCTTTGTCTATGGCCTGTATTACCCCCAAACTCCTCATGTTCGGATTTAAAGGCCAGAAGGTAAATTACAACTTGTTACTTTGGTACTGCCAGCTAACACATGTGAGGAAAATAACGATGCTGCCCTGACTTTCCCAAGCAACCAAGATGAATTCAGTAATGCTGTGACTGGCCATGAACATAGGACTGACCAAAGTGATGGATGCTCTGGCAGAGACCACCTAATCACCTAACCTTTGCCTTGGGGCCTTCTGAGGAGTCATAACCCCCTTTTAGTTTTCTGTTTGTTTTTTTTTTCCCTAGTAAAAAAGCAACTTGAAAATGAAGTAAGGGGAAATTGGGAACATTTTTTCTGATTTCTTTGTTGAAATAGAAGACTGCCTTGTTGAGTTTGGGGGAATGGAAGGTTCTTACAGTTCGTACTTGTAAGTCCTGATATTAGTCAGACAAAGAAAGGTTATGTTCATGATGAGAGATCTCTGCTGACTTATTATTTACATTCCAGAGACATTAAACAGCTCTTGCTCTTCCAAGAACTCACTGCCATGTGCCTACTTCCTTAGTTTGCAAATACTAATCTCCTTTAGCCCTGAAAAGAAAATGATGGCATCTTTTGAGTTATGTCAACGAGTCATCCTGATCCTGTGGACTGATTCTTCCATACCACATGTTGTCAGTTCTCTACTTTTTTTTCCTGCTTTGCACTTTGGTTTCCTGAACCTTCTTCAAGTTAGTAAATTACCTACTGCAAAAGAGAGGCCTCAGCCAAAGACACCACTCGCACCTTGAATTTTGGGGACACTGAACTACAGAATCATTGTGGCTGGAAGGGACTTCTGGAGAATGTCTAGTCCAACCCTCTGCTTAAAGCAAGCACAGCTAAAGCAAGTTGCTCAGGCTGTGTCCAGGATGGAGATTCCACAACATCTCCAGGCAACCTGTGCCCATGTTTGATTACCTGTGCAGAGAAAAAAAGCTTTTATCATGTGTTTACATTGAATTTCCTATATTCATTTTGCACCAATTGCCTCTCACCAGGCACTAGTGAGAAGAGTCTGACTCCATCTTCTTTAATCCCCTCATCAGATACTTGCCCACATCAACAAAATCCTCCAGAGCCTTCCTTTCTCCTGGTTGAACAGCTCCAGCTCTCTCAGTCTATCCTCATACAACAGATGCTCCAATGCCTTGGAGATACATCCAGGCACACCACCAGAACATGCAAGACCTCCTCCAGGCTCCAGCACTAAGACAAAGGTACTGAGTGGGCTTTTGCAGGTGAGCTGGCAGATCTTCACCAGTTTACTGCCTCCTGGGCAGGTCTTACCAAGTTCCCCAGGGCTCTTGCAGAGCTCTACGTGGAGCATCTTGCTCTTTGGGGCTATGTGGAAATTTATTCTCAACATGTTGGCAGTGCCAGCCCTTAATCTTTTTGGGAGGCTCATTTCCATTTAAGTTCAGTGAACACCTCTGCAGCATACTCAAGAGGCTGCTCTACTTCCACCAGAACTTTAGTTAAAACAGTGCAGGATGAAAGAAAGAAAATATCCCGTCCTTATCCTGTGCGAGAGATCGATGACTGCAAACCAGGATAGAATGAATTGGTGGTCTTAGTTCTGCTGCCAGCAGAGAACAGCGTGATTGGGACAGGATCCGTGCTAAAGAGTGGTATCAGAAAAGAGACTGAATGAGATGCACGTCCATTGCAGTTCTCCAGCCTACCCCCAGCAGCTTCTCACCAGGAGAGCTGCACTAAAAAAACCATTCTTTTATCTCAGGGAAAGATGGACCAGAGCTGACTTCTCAGCGTATATTGAAGTTTAGGGCAAAGCGAGCATAAAGCGCAGCTTTTTCCCAGCATTCCCTTGCAAAAGATGCGTTTATCAGCTCTGGGCTATTTAAAGAACAGGCTCTGGGCTCTGTCAGGGAATCGGCACTGAGAAGCAACTAGCAACAGTGTCCCTTACAGCACAAATCGAGGAGGTGGCTGATCACTCCTAGCAAAATGGTGCCGATGCCCTTGTGCATCCTCCTGTCAGTATGAAAGAAAAAATTATTCTCTTCCCTCTTGCTCAGATCAGTCTTTCCTTTTTCCTGTTTTCCCTCCTGTTGGTATCTTAAATTTTTCTCGTTTCAAACTGGGAAAAGATAAGTTTAATTTCTTTTTGCTTTGACCTGGAAAAAAATCTGAAGTTCAGTAATGCACAGAGTTTAGATGTGAGACTTCTCCACTGAGCTGGCTCTGCGTACTGGGATGCACATCAGTGGAAGGAGAAGAAATTGTGTTTGCAGAACCACTCTTCAGGTCATGAAACACTCATTTTGGGATATTACCCTGTTTACACTTTCTGTTCCTGTGCAGTTTTTGCAGAGCAATGGGCTCAGAGGCACTACAGCACTTAAGAAACAACAGCCAACCACATCTCACCCTAGCAGCATCGAATTCTCGGCAGAAGCTGGTTTATGGAGTAGGCACTGGTGAAGGAGTGAGGAAGAGGAGCTAGAAAAGTGATGTGAACATAGCAGGGTGGAAGGACCTTTCTAAGTCCTGTTCACTGCTCGCACAAACTGGCTGTGCAGGAGAAACTGGAGGATCTCTGCAGCAAGGGCTGTATTTCTCTGGACAGCCTTTTCTAGTGTTTAACAACTCTCTCAGTGAAGAAATTTTCCCTAATATCCCATCTAAACCTCCCCAGGCACAACTTGAGGCCTTTTCTTTTGCCCTGTCAATTGTTACTTGGGACAAGAGGACAACTCCCTCTCTATCCTTTGTCTGTCTGTAGCAGATCTTCTTCGGTTTGATTTTGAAAACAGTTGATGCCCAATGAAGGATAATAGTTGTCATTACTGTTGGTTATGTTCTCATAGGAGTAAAAGAAAAATCCTGCTTGGGACATTGACTGCTCAGGGGCCAATGAAGAATTGCTTCTGCCCAGCCACTCACAACCATCAAGCAGTGCTGCTCAGCAACCTAATTGGTGTTTTTTTTTTTCTTCTCACATTTTCTGAAACATAAAATATTGACCATCACAAAGACAGTTCATCAGCATCATGTCCTCTGACATTATTTATTTGCTGCCTGGTTAGATGACCATCCATCCCTAAACCCCACCACATGAGACATCACCCAGAAAGCAGTGGGAGTTTTGATAGCAGCATCAGATCGTTAGAAATAGAGTGTTAATTGTGAGTTGTTAAAATTATAGCATCTAGCTTTGCATCAGTACATCTCAAAACACTTCAAGAAGGTGAATAATTTTTATCCACAATTTACATAATTGAAAATGAGGCACAGGGATATGATTTACGCAAGGTCATTCAGCAAGCCAGTGGCAGAATAAAAATAGATCCATTTTGTACACCTCTCCTTTAGGATCATGTTAATTCACACCACAACATTTCTCATCAGAGCAGACAGGCAATGTGAAACCCCTCACCACCTTAGACAAAGCTAAAGCTTTTAACTTGGGACAGTTTTAGAAAATAGGTCCCCTGTTCTGTTCCCCCTCCACCCTCCACATCTGTTTTCTATGCAACTTGTCCAGTCCAGGATTTGACTCAGGGAAAAACACTCATAAATTACTCTCAGACACTCTCCTCCCCTCCAGTCTTACAGACAAACTACTCCTGTGCTAAGACACTTAACAGATTTGAGTGAAAATGTAACAGTTTTCTTGTGATTGCAGCTTATTCTGTGTTTTATTGAGGCTTACTTGATGCAAAAACATTTAACAAGGGAGCAGGATTATTTGTCCCCAAGAGGACCAAAGGAGGCTTGTAGCAAAGAGCTTTTATACAACTGGTAATCAACAGCTATGTCTGGCTTTTGGGGGTCTTTCTGTAGTGAAGGGCTCTGCAGTTGCAGGAGATTGTGAAGAAATGAATGATTGTGCAAGACTGATGCTGAAGTCTTCGCCTTCTCTCCAATATGTTTGCTTACATCTTTTTTTTTTTTTCACTATGTTACGTCAGCTCTGGACTGTGAGACTTTTGCTGCATCTTTTGCTTGTGCTGCGATACCTGTAGCGTATCTTTGTGACAGGATTGTTGAATGCAAGAGAAGAACCTACCACTGAAGAGAGAGGAAGGCACATGGTGTGTGAGGAGGGTTAATGCTGGGGTCTCTCAAGGGGTTGAAGACAGATTTGGGCAATCTGAAGGACTAAGCAGCCATGGTGAGGTTGCTAGGGTGCTACATGGGTCTACAGCTTGCGTGCCCATTTGTCTAAGGCCACCTTGTCTAAGGTGTTGTCTTCAATATATGCAGAAAGATGCAGGAGTTGACATCGTCTTCCTCTGCACTGAGCCACCAGCCGTCAGGGAAGACGACAGACTTTCCTTTCCATGGGCAGTTTTACACATCTGTTCCTCTTCCTCTCACTTTCTATTTCAAGCAGAAACTGTTCAACAATTCTGCCGCATGGACCTGCAGATCTTACGAGGCAATAGACAAGCACTGAGAAAAAGGCTTTGAAAAATCTTTCTCAAGCCTGGTAGTTGTGCCAATACTGACAAGGGGCAAAAAGAAGGCAGATTTTCATGTTTCTTTTAATAATTAATGGCCTACAAGTGTCCAAAAGGCTTGGCATCATGTCCGTGATTTGCTGAAACCTATCTCTGGAAAGCCATGTGCTGCTAGTTCAAGGCCTGGAGAATTTAGGATCTGCTCCAAGATATCTGCTCCATGAAAAGATAGTTCCTTCACAGAAAGAAGAGGAAAAACAAGGGTATACTAATGTTTTTGAGATCAAGAAAGGTGAATAAGATACTTTCTCCTTTGGAAAGTCACCCAAAACGAGTTACTGGGGCAGTTAGACTACTTAAAACTTGATTAGACAATTTCATGGCAGTTAGTGTAACTGAGAGAAGGGCCCTGTTGATGTTAGGAAGAAGTTGGACTGTGTAACCTTACTTCTGCCTTTGCTCCTATAACAACAGTCTGGTTCATCCATAATTAGACTCTTCCTGGCTCCCCTTGGCTGATGGCAACTGAGATAATCAAGAATCTGAAATTAATGTCTTTAGAAAGACTGCTTATCGTCTGGGTTCAAATCTAGTAAGGCAGATGATGGAGCTAAATCCAGATTTCCCACATACCCTTGCTCTAAGGAGAAAAAGGCAACAAAACAAAAAAAAAAAGAAAGGAAAATATAAAAGCACTTTTTCTAGGTAAATAATTCCATTACTGATATATTGAGAAACTTTAAGTCATTCTTCCAGAATGGTGATTTACTCCTTAAACCTGAGGAAAAAAAAAAAAAAAAGGAGGCCTATATTTAGAAAGCCAGAATTTCTACAGACCTACAGATACTGATCTTGCATAATGTAGAAGTAAATGAACTGAGATATGAGAAAATATGTAGTGCCTATCTGAGATCAGGAGATGAGGAGTCTGGAAACGATTAAATTTGCTCAGGGAGTCTAAATATATTAGGTTGAACATCAGTATCTCAAAGCAAACAGGAGCAAGATAAAAAGACATGGGGCAAAATTTAAAACTGAATTTCATTCACAGCAATTCATTGTTACCAGAATGCCACTCGTGAGCAATAAACACTTAAAAAACCCAGGAAAAAGTTCTTTGGAGATGCAGTTGTGAAATCTCTAAACTGCCTGTTTTCAAATGAGCACTGTCTTCCTCCTTCGTCAATTTTACTGAAGCCAGAGGCATTAGATAGGAGCTTCGTTCCTCCTTCATATCTCATACACAGATGCCACTCAGCAGTTTTTGTAGGAAAAATGGCATTTAAAAGCATTTAAGCAGGACCATAAACACAACATGCTTTTCCAGAGGAGGCAAATGCCGCGCTTGAGATTTAAAGACCTTCTGACAGCCTTTGCTGTTGCAATTACTGTCCTTGCAGCTCCGAACACCCCGCTGCAGTCAAATTGCAGTCGAAGGAGAAACACAAGTGGGATGTGAACTGGCATCTAAGCTGCTACGGCAAAACTGGGAGCAGATGCTGAGCTGGACCTCATGGCAAAGTTTAAAGCATTTACATATATTTTAATCTGAAATGAGGGCAGGCTGGTTGACTTCTTGCTGGGACCACGTGAAGCCTGGGAGAAAAAGAAACCTCGTGATGGTTAGTAGCTTTCTTAACTGAAGTGCTAAAGGTACCTGATGTGAGTCAGAACAGCCTGATGCTGTCATTAAGGCTGATTATTAAGATTAGGACAAGAATATCAATCATGTTCCACGTACCCAGCCTACGAGGAGCAACAGGGTAGTGGGGTGTGAGGCCAAGTCTTCCACAGACCTTTGGCAGAGAGCTGTTTAGTTCAAAAGGAAAATAAAACTAAGAATGATCAACATCTGATGCCTCAAAGTAATAGTAAATACAAACATGTTTTCATTTAATACCCAAAGTCCCTCAAGCATCTGACAGAAAACATACACAACCCTCAACCCCTGACCCCATCACTCCTTTCCAAAAAATAAAGCTAGGAATTTCTAACCAGTGGCACAGCCAACTTATATAAATTATAGAGAGAGAATAGACATATATGCAAACGATAGCTATAGCCTGGGATCCCAGCAGTAATAAATACTCTACCCACCCAACAAACTGTCATGCTGCATTGTGTGAAGTTGTAGATAGGATATGCCTTTCATATGACTAATGCAAGAACAATGAAGACAACATATGTTATGATTTAAACTACAGTTGTCTCTCTTTCTGGGAGGAAAACCAAATACATTTTTGCTGAACAAAACCTGACCGTGTTGTTTGTCCAAGGCTTAACCCTGCAGACAGCTAGGTCTGGTAAAAGCCTTATTAACTATTCTTTCTAAATGGAAACCAGTGAGAAGCGGGAAAGAGAATATGAGTTTGCAACGTGTATTTCTATTCATAAATATTAAGTATGTTTTCAGGTTCTGGACACGTGGTTTACTATTTTAGCTGAGTTGTAATGGTTATCTGGGTACACGTTCTTAGCCCACAGGCAATTTAAACTAATTGAGCCTATTTACTGCTTAGCCTAAGGCTAGACTCCATCACCACTAACCAAAAACACAAAGGCAGCAATTACTGTAGCTCAGCTGCAACGTGGTGACTCCCCAACATATATCAATGGCATCGTCAGTGGCCTTGGAGAAGGTGAGCCCTGCTCCCTCACACTAGAAGGAAAAGGCAGAGAAATCGCCTGGATTAATGGGATCCACTCGTCATGCAACAGAAAGCAGACCTGTGGGACTCATTGCCATGGGATGCTGTGGGTGCAGAATGTCCCCTGGAGAGTCTGGACAAGCATTTGAATAAGAAAATTCACTGAGAGTTACTTAGCAGACAAAAATGGTATTCAATTCAGGAGATATCCTGAGCTACCCATAGGAAGAGACAGATGACTGGAGAAGGATTACAGGCAGCCGCTCAGTTCCTCCTCATCCTTGTGCACCCAATGATGCTGCTATTGGGCTCGACAGATCCATGCTCTGACTCGGTTCTCATCTTCCTACATCCCAGCCCGTTCGTGTGTCTGAGCCCTCAGGATCAGCTCTGAGCTGGTGGGTGTATTTCATTCTGTTAGCACAACCAGCCACCAGGGAGCCACAATGCCTCTGGAGGAAAATGTTCTTTCTGCGTGCATTTTAGTTGGTAATATATTTAAAAATGAATCTGCAAGTCCATGTTGAGTTCTTGCTGCTCTTGGGAGGACATCTGAATCACCCCTGCACCTGCAGAGAAGCCTGTTTGCTGAGCTGGAATTCCAGCGAGTATTTTGATAACTCCTTTCCATTTCTGCATCTAAACTGTAGAATGAAATAATAAGTGTTTTCGCAACTAAAATCAGGTAAAAGCAGATCCCTTGCTGCATTCAGCACCAGTTATATAATGATATTACAGAGATTAATCCAAGTAAATTGTCCTGTGTTGTGGGAGTGATAAATACAAGCCTAAACCTTGCGGTGCCTAGGAATAAACAATCATGTTAGGTGGATGGTTGCATTTCCCATGTTTCATGACAGATAGAGGCTATAATAAGATTTCTTTTCTTTTAAATAAAAATAAGAAGGCAGACTTCCAGTGGGAGAGTCTTATCTGGAGGTGCTGTCTTTTATTAATATTGCATGAGACAGAGAATTCCCCATTTGCCACAACTTGGAGAAGTCAAGAAGATGGTGGCTAGGACATGCCCATACTGACGTATGACCCAAGCCCAGCCATGAAACATCTGCCTCAGCACAACCAGGTAATGACTGGGTCATCCTGCTGCCATTCCAGCCAGGATTTCTACAAATACTACTGCCCAAAATGCCCTAACCTAGGTAAGTCTGTGGGAGATAGCAAGGGAGCCTTGCAGCAAGGACTTGCCATTAGCAAGTTGTTGTTAATGCAAGATCATCTCTTTTAGATGAAGATGGGGTGGGATGAGATGTCACCACAGCAGTGTGAGTGATGCCTTTCTTACAAGATGCTGCTTGGTGCCTGGAAAACTACACAGATCACTCTGATGGTGGTACTGAGTGCTGCTCTGTTGTTTGTGAAACCACTTAGGGTGTCCAGCAGCACTGAACCGTCAGAGTCTCTCAGCAGGGCACTGCACATTCGCCAGCTGATGTAGTGATTTTTATAAAGACAGACATAGATCTTTATTTCTATCTTTTAAGGCTCATTATGTTATGCCAGGCTGCATTTCCTCGTTTGTCAGTGTCAGCGTAATGGAATCAAGTCACCAGAAGTGCCATACTGGCCTGTGAAAAAGATATTGCGTTAACAGAGCTGGTGTGCTGGGGTAAGAGGCTGGATGGCTTTGCTTTGGAAGAGCTGCCACTGTCTGTGCTTCAATGATGGTTGCAAGTTCTGACTGAAGCTGAGGAATTATTAGAGCAGATACTATGCCAGCATGCAGGAGGCCATGAAGGGGGTATAACTAGACAGGCAAGTTGGGACACAGGATCTAGGTAAAATCCCTGACATTTGGCCTGCAGCAGAGCTGGGGACAGTGCCCTCAGTCTGCCCCATGTCCATGGAGTAGAATGTGTTTTCCTAACCTCTCCCACACCCACAGTCATCACCCTGACCTTTGTTGTCATGCCAGATCCGCACTTTGCAGAGATCTCCCAGGCTCAGCATGTCCGAGAAGTTGAATTCGTCCATCTGGTTCCTCTCAAACTTGTTAGACTTGTTGGACTCCTTCAGAGCCAGGATCCCACTGTCTCCATGCTCCCCAAACAGGATTAAGGACACATTGGCGTCAGTACCTGCTCCTGGAAAAAAAACAACAGGCACATCATCACGAGCTAGCCTGCTGCATAGGGCTGACACTCAGCCTCCAGTTGCATCAAAAAGGAGGGAGAAAAGTCAGTCTGGAAGAGGCTGCAGTGATGTTCAGATTTCTCTGGGCAGAGGTAACGAATTTTGGTGATTTCGTGCATGATCCTGCAAGGAGAATACCCCTTGGTATGTAACAAGACAGTCCTTCCAACTCTTTCCCAACTATAGCTTGAATGGTTCACCCTTGTTCTTGAGGTCGGGTGACCATGACGTACTAATAGGAACCAGGAGTATCTGCTTCTGATGGAGCACTGTGCATCGTGCCACTTTGCAGAAGGTGTCAGTGTTCTGGCCTGTTTTTCCAAGATGGCTTGAGAAGCAAAGTGACATACTCAGCAGCATCCAGCAATCCATGAAAGAGAGTTGAAGAATATATTTTAACTTTTCTAGCTACATTGTTCTGGGCTTCCCACTGGGCCACGATCCCTTTTCCATACTGTGGTGTCCTTCTGCTGTCCCACAACCTCCACCAAGTTCTCCTGTGGCACCCAGGACATGTCAGCTGGGATCTGTTTCCTACTGTGCTCCCTATGTTATGGCATAGGGATTTGAAAATGAAGTGCAAATCATCAAACAAACCACTATGGCATCCTGTGACCCACTTTCCCACAGATCTTCTTTCTATTTCTCAAAATACTCTTATTCTTCCTATCCCTGTTTCTCAAAATGGTGTCCTTGCTGTATTTAATGGAAAAATTCCCAGTTTCTCATACAACACCTTCAACCTCCAGCTCCCACATCTTCTTCTGTACATGTTAGGAAAAGAATAATTTCTAAAATGATCTTTATTACCTGATACAGAATTTCATATGCCCATTACTAACCATATTTTGCTGAAGACAACAGCCATGCTGCCAATTTTGCTGACTTTCAGAGACCTCCAGGCCAAACCATCACCTGCAATGACTTTACAAAAGTTTTAGCTGAAGGTGTTGCAACATTTTTACCTAGCACTTTTTATAATTTGACCAAAATTTTATAGGCCTTCAATCAGTTACTCTGGTGAGCTGGGGATGTGGCAGCACAGTTAAACTCTTACGGAGGTGAACCTGGGGCTCCTGAGATAGTAGGAGCCAACAAGGAAACATCCACAGAACACCTCAAGAGAATTAAGGAGTGTTCTACCAAGATGACATGGCTGATAGCCCAGCTGAAGTGCCTCTACACAAATGCATGCTGTATGGGCAACAAACAGGAGAAGTTAGAAATCTGTGTGCCGCCAAGGGTTTACGATTTGGTGGCAATTACAGAGACATGGTGGGACAGCTCACATAACTGGAATGTGGTCATGGGTGGCTCTATCCTTTTTAGGAAAGACAGGCCAACAAGATGAGGTGGGAGATCTGCTCTTTGTGTGAGAGAGCAACTGGAATGTATTGAGTACTGTCAGTGAGGAGTGACTCAAGAGTTTGTGGGTGACAGTTAAGGGGCAGGCTAGCATGGGTGATGGTGTGGTGGGTGTCTATTACAGGCCACCTGATCAGGAGGAGGAGGGTCATGAGGCCTTCCACATGCAGCTGACAGCAGCCTCTCAATCCCAGGCCCTGGTTCTCATGGGGGATTTTAACTACCCAGATATTTGCTGGAAGGCCTGCACAGCCAGCCAGCCACAGTCCAGGAGGATCCTCGAGTGCATGCATGAGAACTTCTTGATGCAAATGGTGAATGAGCTGGCCAGGAGAAGAGCGCTGCTGTTATCTTATATTCACCAACAAGGAGGGTTTGGTTGAAGCAGTGAAGGTTGAGGGCAGCCTTAGCTGCAGCGACTGTGAGGTGGTGGAGTTCAGGACCTTGTGCAACAGGAACAGAATACTAAGCAGGGTCACAACCCTGGATTTCAGCAGGGCCAACTTTGGCCTTTTCAAGCAATTGGTAGGGGAAATCCCATGGGACAGGGTACTAGAAGGTAAAGGGGCCCAAGGCAGTTGGTCAGTGTTCAAGGACCGTTTGTTCCAGGCTCAGGATCAGTTGCATCTCAACAAGTAAGAAATCAAGAAAGAGAGCCAGGAGACCCGCATGGTTAACCAGGGATCTACTGGGCAAACTCAAGTGGAAGAAAAGAGTCTATAGATCATGGAAGGAGGGGCTGGCCACTGGGGTGGAGTTTGTCAGAGAATGTAGAGAGGCAACTAAGAAAGCTAAGGCCTCCCTGAAGACTGTTGGCAGGAGGGCCAGAGCTCTGAGGCCCCAGAGGAAGTCAGGATAAAAAAGGAGTTTTCCTTGATTGATGAGGACTGGGTTAGGGATCAGTCAGGCAACCTGAACATCCATAAATCCATGGGCCCTGATAGGATGCACCTGCGGGTACTGAGGGAGCTGTTGGAAGTCAGTAGTGAGGTGGATTGTGTACTCACTGCAGGGAAGAAGTCAGAGAGTTGTGGTCAATGGGACAGAGTCTAGTTGGAGGCCTGTATGTAGAGGAGTCCCTCAGGGACTAGTATTATTCACTATATTCAGTACTAATCACCGATGACCTGGATGAAGACTGCACCATCAACAAGTTTACTGATGACACAAAACTGGGAGGAACGGCTGACACACCAGAAGACTGTGCTGCCATCCAATGAGACCTTGACAGGCTGGAGAGTTGGGCAGGGAGAAATT